CATTAACCCACATAAACAGAAACACTAATGAGAGAACAATGCAGCTGATAGAACAAAGGATAGCATTCAGTATATTTGAAGACTAATAGAGCATTATAGACAAAGCCATACATTTTAAATGCTCAACAAACAACAAACAGTCACAAAGGCAGACCAGCAACAACACAGCAGCCTGAAAAAAACCAAGCACAATTAATAACACGAAAAGAAACCACGAGCATGAATAAGGTAACCAAATCAACTCAATTGTTGCTCATGGTACTACAACCACAACCCTGATCAGAACTGAGCATAGCCAAAGCTGGTAAGGCCAGAACACCTCACAAATAGATATAACAAAAAATGAACAACAAGAACAATAAAATTAAAAAATCAGAAATTAAATGAACAACAAGAACAATAAAATTAAAAATTACATGAACAACATCAAAAAATCAGAAATTATATGAACAAATCAGAAATTATATGAAATTATATGAACAAATCAGAAGTAAAAATCAAAAAATAAAGACATGCAAATCCTGCAAACAACGAATCATCAACATAAAACCGAAATGAAAACAAAAAAATTAACATAAAATTACCTTTGAGCAGTGACGGCTTGAAGGAGAGGAAGATTTGAAGATGGAGAACTGGAGAATGAAAAAAAAAACGAGAATGGAGAGATCGAAAAAAAAATCGAAAAAAACGAAACGAAAACAAAAACAATTAACTAAAATTTACCTTTGAGCTATTGAAGGCTAAGAGTTCAGAGCTTGAGAGTTGAGAACTTGAGAGTGAGTGAGGATTCAACGCTTCGATTTGAGGATGAAGAAGAAGAACGGTGAATGCTGTGGAATGAAGAGGATGAATGAAGAACCTAATTGCCTTTCAGTCTTTCATAGTTTCACGTTTCACTTTTTTTTTTTTTTTTCTCTTTTGCATAATATATGAACCACATGTTTATTTAATTATTAAAGAATCAAAATATCTAAATTCTAAATCTAAAATGTGTTTTTCCTTTTGGTTTTTGGAGGGAAATTTCCCACCATATTTTGTTGAAATTGTCAACCAAAAAAATGAAATTAATTTTCCACTTTGTAAAAATCAAAATTTTTAATTTTATTTTAATAACATTAAACAAACTTTTATACAATTAATTAATTACATGACTTAAAAAAAAAACTAATTACATTTCTCGGATCCCGATAAAACGATATTCACCTTCATAATATCAGCTTTTATAATTTTTTTTAACACACACATTAAAATATTAAGTTCTTTAAATTATAAAATGTGAATCGGTTAGCGTGTAATTTCTAGGCGTTGCGATTAATAAAAAATCGAAAATTGTTCAATAAATAATGATGTCATATCTTAGAGAGTTAGAAGTACTACGAATTTGTTATATGGTTATATTTATATCAGTTTAGCTGTACCTATAAGCAATACACTTGTAATCGTGTAAACTTATAAATGATATAGTTGACTAGTAGATTAGTACATAAATACAAATTACTTAATTAGATATGAGTTATGTCTACATGAGTGATTGACTAATATGACTATATGAGCAATTGTCAATTTAGCATAGCTGCATAACAGATTAGCAGCGTACTAGACTATCATACTCGGTAATATACTAATACCATTTCAGTATTTGATCTACTAGACTCAAGTTAAAAGTTACTCTTTCTGATTAACTTGTTAGTCTAATTAAGTAATTACTAATTACTAATTAGTGACTTAAGCCTTAAGGGTAAACCAGTAAAGGATATACAAAAATATAATAATCTTATGTTTCTCATCCCTTTATACTAATAATATCTAACTATGAGAATATGAGATGGTTATATGTTATGTATCTGTATAATCGATTGAAGGAATCAACATTACCTTCTTCTTCATTAATGTTTTCTTTCATTATACAAATCAAACTACTCTGTAATATCTTCATGTATAACTTTATGCAAATATATAATGATAAACGAGTCTTAATTATCAGTCTTGTTGACTAATTAAGTATCGAATACCAAATTGCAAATTTCGATGTCACAACAACTCATCAAATCATGATTATGACACTATTAACTAAATGATCAAATCAGAAGCAGATAATAATCTGATAGTAAAACAATAATACATTAATGCACTAAACTTTTATAATCTACTTCATAATAAACTAGTAAGATCAGTATAGCTAAACTTAAATCATAACATGATATGTATTTATAAAATTAATGAGAATTTGCATATAATATGATGCCTCAATATGAAGTGATGAAGTCTCGGCTTGATATAAAACTTGTTAACTGGCAAAAAGTTAGAAAGTAGTACAAAATTTTTTGAAATCAAAAACAGACTCGAACCGTAATTTAGTAAATCTGAAATAAAACCGATCTAAATAATGTTAAATCGTAGAAGAACCAAACCCGTGAACGAACCGAACCAGTTATAACCGAACTAAAATAAAACTAAACCAAAAAACAACCGAACCGTTTCCAACCTGAAACTGTTTGAACCGGGATAATAACCATTTACACCGAACCGTTAACAAACCGCAACCCGTCTGCACCGAACCTTTTACTACCTGGAATTTTTACAACCCACACCGTTTACAAACCGAACCGAATTTAAACCGGGTTAAAAACCATTTACACCGAACCGTTAACAAACCGCAACCCGTCTGCACCGAACCATTTACAACCCGAACCAAATTTAAACCGGGTTAAAAACCGTTTACACCGAACCGTTAACAAACCGCAACCCGTTTGCACCGAACCGTTTACTACCCAGACCGTTTACAACCCGGACCGTTTACAACCCGAACCGAATTTAAACCGGGTTAAAAACCGTTTACACCGAACCGTTAACAAACCGCAACCCGTTTGCACCGAATCGTTTACTAACCGAACCGTTTATAACCCGAACCGAATTTAAACCGTTCAAGAATAAACCGAAACCGAACCGAACCGATAATTATTTAAACCGAACCGAAATCGACCCGTAAGACATTTGAACCGATTTCAAACCGACCCGATTTCAAACCGAACCGATTTCAAACCGAACCGAAACCGAACTGTCAAACCGTTTTGACAGTGCTACACATACTACATAATAATGATAAGGTAAGGTAACACATTTTCATAAGCTACATAGATAATGAGAGAGCCTAAGCAAAATAGATAATGAGAAGCTAACAACCCAAGCAAAGCAAAATAGATAATGAGAAGCTAAACAGATAAATACTTATTGATAAGCTAACACGGTTGAAGTAATATGAAATTACTGTGGTAGAAGTTCCCAAATGTATGTCTTGGTTGCTGAACACTTCAAATTGTAGTACACGTCCTTTGTAAATGTGATTATAAGACAACCACCTTGAAACCAAAAATACCGTATGTGTGTATCCCTTGTAGGAGTAATCGTGCCATGTGTACCAAAACTCCTGTCTCAGTTAACACTATCACATCTGGCATGTTTAGTTCGATTGCTGACTTGATTGATGGCAAAAACGATTCCTGAGCCATGTCCCTGCAATTCCATAGCATGAATCTTGTTGTTTCCAAATCCCTTAGCTTCTCATTGCTCTCGGTGACCAAAACCTTTACCAATGCAATCCTCCCATCTAGATTGTGTGTTGAATTTGCAGAAAATTATATAGTTAACCCAGTAGCATACAAAGGGGATTTCACATTGAACAATTTGAAATCATTTCTGTAGCTTTGCAGCTTGATTGAATGCTCCCCCTTTGACAGCCAACACACCTCTTTAACAGCTGGAATTTCTGAGCAAGGATCTATGGCAACCCTAATTGTTGGGGGTAAAACACATTCACACCCAGGCCCCTTAACACCACCAAACTTTGAGAGGAACCACTATATGAAGACCTTAAAGACCTTTAGATGTAATGCCAGGTCTGAAAGGTCCGGTAAGTCCGCTGGTGTAGCGTAGTTCCTTGGCGTAATCCGCACCAGGTCTCCCTCGAGCCTTTCTCCGGTTGCCACCCAAGCCGCTGCTTCCACTGAATCAATCAATTTCAAAGTCACCATATTGTTATCCTTCAATTTCGGATCCTGAATTAACCCCAACACACCCTTGTTCATTGGGTTTTGATTTGTTGTTCGTGGTATTTGGTTTTTAAGCAAACTAAAAGTGGATGTGTTTATTATAATTGAAGGCTTTTTGTCAATTTTTTTTGTGAATTTTCGAAATCTCTGATCTAGACATTGGTTTTACGAGAGACACGGCCGGGAATATTTAAATTTTTTTTCACCATGTTGGTGTGGACTTGAAGTTCTTTGTGTTTTGTGGATGGATATGGCATTGCTTATAAATAGAGTCATTGTTTTGATGTTTAGCGGTAAATTGATTACAATATCCCGCCAAAATGAAACAAGCTGATGAACCGCCAATAGTTGCCGCCCAAATGTTTTGAAGGTGGATTCCACTTAACTAAATTTGTTCTATAATCTAAATTTTGCTTCTCATCTAAGCTACACGACATATTAGAATAAAAAAAAATAACCTACCATTTCTAATTTCTATTGTATACTTATGTTGCTATGAAGTAATAGTAAAGAACATTTATATACACGATTAATATTATGTGTTACGATCTAGTTGTATCTAGAGATTTGGAGTGATATAAAAAAAATATTTAAAAAACTTAGTATAATTACTTTTAATTGAGTAGATGTGAAGTGATATTTTAAAATAATTTTTAATTTTTTTTTTAAAAAAACCCCAAAAATATTACAAAAAAAGTCAAACGTTTTCCATTGGTACTCAAACTTTTGGCCCAAGTTTGTAGGATATAATTTACGAGGGTAGGATAAGGAAAATCGCTACCCTCATCGTAGTGCCAGCCACTTGTAAGGGATTCAACTCCGATCCGGAAAGGCTCAAACCTTGCATTAGTGCTAATTTTTTTTACCTCTGCATATGTGTGAATTTAATACATAAATGTACTATACCAAGAACTGTACAGGTAACTACCAAAGTACCAAGGTCTGTCCATTAAGCAGATGTATCAATGTTTCATATATAAAATGCCATCTAAAAGACAGATTACAAAACACAAACTGCAAGAGATCATGTCTCAAAAATTCACAAACCAAAGCATCCAACCAAGCCGTAATACTTTATATTTAGTTAGCGATTATCTTTGAACCATGTCCTAATATACACAAACAAAAGGAAATTATCTATTGAGTCATTAGCTTAGAATTAAACAATCTTGTTAATCATGTGAAGGTAATGCTTAAAATTGGGGGCTCCACACATTCCAACTCAACCACAGCCTTTTCGCCGAGTTCAATCCCCTCACCCGCAAGCATTTCCGATACTCCTTTCTTGACGTTGCAAGTTACAATGTTCTTGTGCTGGTCAAACTTAATGCGCATTGTTGCTTTCCACCACCGACTAACATACAATTCTATTGGAGTCTCGTCTCTAAGACCTTGGAAATGTGCACGGGCGAATGGTAACGGAATGTTCTGAATTGCAACAAAAACATTAGTATTATAAAGGATGCGATAAACACTAAACACTAAGAAACAATGAGAAATCAAGAAGAATATTATCATTTCAACATCAGAAGTTCGTTATGAAAGGGTAAAAACTCACGATTCTGGGCTTGTTAATATAACCCTTGGAAAATGTGAATTCCAAATAGGGTGGTTTAAAATGAGCCTCCATTTCCACATACTCTGATGAGTCGACGTCACCCATTGACCCATCATTCTCTATGATGAAATGAGGGTCAAAAACTGTAATTTCCTTCTCGGCACGCCAAATCCTAACCCGATAAAGCATTCCACACCACACTAATTACAAAGAATGGGTTAAATAAATTTGTTTTATTAAATATCCTTTTTTATTGCAAAAACATGCAACAATGAATGGATAAGATTGGGTCCCATATAATATCCGATAGAACCATACAATATCTGATATGGATAACATTTTTAGGTTATCTTTGAACCATTATATAAAGGACATATACATGTTTACTAAGTTGTTCAATTTATAAAATATAAAATTCTCTACCATGAATCAAAAATGTATAACAAATTGCCGACCAATCGATGTAATGTTGGACGGTGGCAACCGTACAGGTGAAGTCACAGAAATTTATGGAGAAAGTGGGGTTGGGAAAACACAAATTTGTATGCAGTTGGCCATCAATTGCATGATGGATCCTGGAGCTGGTGGCCTATACAGCTCATCGATTTACATACAAGCTTCTCCAACATTTCCTGCGAGAGACTACACCAGCTTAGCAGGTACCTATTTCGTTCAAACTTAATCGATGAGGATCCTCTAGGCTTAGTTCAAGTAAAAAGTGTAGATGATCCGGAGCAAATCTTTTTGGCCCTAAATCAAGTTGAGGCCATGATTTTGAATTCTGCCGAGGGTTGTAGACACACTAGAGTAGTCGTTCTGGACTCCATAGCATACTTGTTTAGACACGCGCACGACAACACACCTAGGGGGTTTTTAAATTGCACGCGCGAGTTAATGGTTGTGGCTAGGAAAATGAAACAAATAGCCAGATCATATAACTTAGCCTTTCTTGTGGTGAACGAGGTTGCTGATGTCTTTCACACAGATCAATTTGTCCATGGGAGGTTTCGCACATACACTTCAGGCAGGGAGGTCAAGGCAGATCTCGGTGCAACATGGGAGGAAATGATGCCAAACAAGATGTTTTTATCAAAAAAATTCGTTGAGGTTGAAGGAACAACTACGTGGTACCGGGAATGAACGATTGTCAAAAGTACAAGTACCACCCTACAAGTTCGGTCTTGTAGTTTCCGTATCACAGACGCTGGGTTGGAACCTGACAATTAGGATGTCTCATTCCCATTTCCACCCTATATTTCCCAAATTCCCAATCCCATTTGCCAAACGCCCTTAGACCACTATCAGCAGTGAGGGAAAAAAAAACTCTTCAATCTCTCTCTACCCATTTTCTCACTCCTCCAACCGAATTTCCCTCATCAAATGATTTTTTCACCACACCAATGAGGAAAAAAAAAAACTCCTCAATCTCTCTCTACCCACTTTCTCACTCCTCCACTATACCCCACCATAATACACATCATTTTTTTATTTTATCTTTATTTTGAAATATTGTTTATACTACATAATTAATTTTCCAATACAATTAAAATATGTAAAAATAATTTATTTTTTAATTACGTTTAAAAATAATTTAATAAAAATATGTAAAAATAATTTTTTTTTGTAAGAAATAATTATAATAATAAGAAGAAGAAGAAATTGAGAGAATATGTTAATTTCTCTAATTTATGAGATTTTTTTAAATTATATCAAAATATATCAAAATGCATGTTTATTTATAGAGAAAAAAAATTTATGACCGTTGGTGTATTTTTTTTTTTTAAAAATATTTACAAAATATAACCATTGTAAAAAAAGGTACAAAAATTCTGATTGGCTGAAGCACTGACACGTGTCACCCTCCCATTGGCTGGGCTGACGCGCGTCAGTGCCAGCCATTTAATTTTTTTTTTTTGCTTCGTGTATTGTTCATTGCTACCAGAAAAAAAAAAGAAAATGTATTGCTTGTGGGCCCCACGCGTGCACTGTTCATTTAGAAAAACCCTCAACTCTTGAGGGTTTTTTTTTTTCCCTCACGGTTGAGGGTTTTTTCCCTCACTGCCGTGGTGCTCGGTTTTTTTTTTTTACACCCTTATTTTTACTTGTGAGGGTTTTTTTCCTCACTGCTGATAGTGCTCTTATAATGTAACAAAAACATGGTTAAAATAAATTTTTGTCATGTAAACTTCAAATATTATATATTACTTTATTATGATATTATCTTTTGTATAAAGGACAATTTTTCTAATCAAAGTAAAGCATTTGTGGAATATACGATATGCGTACACCATGTAAAAGCACCATGTAAAAGCATGATTTTCCAATTCATTATTATGTTATTATTTATTTCTTTTTATTGCTCATATTGCTTTACGAAATCCAAAAAATGACATTACATTACTAAACTTTACGAATAAACCAATCTTACTGGAGTAATCTTGTAGTATAATCCGCTTACAGTTAACTTCCTTGTTTCCCTCATTACATACTAATCTCTTTGATTAGAAATAAAATATTAATCACGCATGCTTTGTAAGAGTAAAACAAAAAAGTCTACTACAGAAAAGTACAGTTATTGTTCTAGGAATAATTATTAAATGACCTACGAGTACGAGCACATACAAATACATAACTACTCATAGCACATTTGTTGTAATACTAATCAAACATAACGACAGTTCGTTTATTACGAATGAGGATCCGACCAAATGAAATTAAAATTCTACCGCCCGTCTACTGTCTCATCATGGTTGGTGTTACGGGCCATCATCGCTTCCTGTTGTGAGCTCCTCATCATAATTGGTTGGCCATGGTAGGCGGTCGCTTGTTGATAGAGAAGGCTGACAATTAAATTAGGTATTAAACAACTTAATGATGTTATAAAATAGACAAAAAAAAAATAAAATTAATTATAAAATGTTCATTCCTAGTAGAATGTTACCACTACTTCCGCCCCTAAGTTGTGGCCAACTAATGTGCCAGATTTCTAGTAAAAACTTGGAGATGCAAATTTACTCCACAACATTGCAACACCACCCACTCCCTCGTTGGAAGTTGCAAACAAGGTGTACTCTCCACTTAAACCCAACCTCACGTTTGATAAATTTCCAATTTGTGCTCTAGCCTCTGTTACTATTACTACAAATGGTGAGAACCAATGATGTATTTGGTTAAAAGTGTTTGTGAATGATGGCCTTTGAATATCAATCGAGTTCCAAAAAACCATATTTAAACCTGGTTCAAACCTGGCCCATGGATCATTTACATGAGCCAGTGTCCCATTGACCTTTACCTTGTAATGGCCTGTTTCCCTATTACTCATTACAAACGACACAACATCCACCTTGACCATCCTTGTTGGGTGTTGTAGTTTCACAACCTGGATTATTTCGCTTCCACACCCTAACATTAGTTGGATCTCTTCGGTAGTTAGTGCATATGGGTCGATGTTTGCCAAATCAATCACTTGTTGCGAAGTACATCGATCCATCATATTAAAATTGGTATTTAATTTGTTGCTAAATTTTTGGGAAGAAAACTCAAGGGTTTCTGGATATGAGATTGAAATATAGGAAAATATGAAATTGGAGGAATTGGTCCATCATTGTTATGGTTGATTACTTAAGTGGTTTCATCACAAGGATAGTGCAAAAAGCAACTGACATAAAGTAGACGCTATCTCGTACATGTTGCACTATGGTGATGGCCATATTTTGTCCTACATACTTGTTTTTGTTTATTGATATTCACATGTCAAAGATTTCTTTGTACTTGCTTCTTGGAAATGACTTAAATTGATAAGTTGATTTATGGATCAAATGACACAAAACACATAAAAAAAAAATATATATATATTCATAAAGTACTCACACAGTGCATTAAATCATTAAATAAAACACATAAAGACATAACAATACAGACAACTCATAAATAATCTAAAACATTGAAATTAAATACATTACTCATAAAATAAAAATACACTAAAACTATTAACCAAGTCTGAAAATAACTAGTACGGAGTACATAATTATAGAACCACCCATATTACTACATCATAAGTTAATTGACCTTTTTTAAAAGAGTAATTACTCATCATCGTCATCGTTGCTGGTGTAGACATCTTTAGGAAGTGACCCGATATCCCGTGAATTGTATTGAAGCAAAGAAAGAGTAGACCTGGTTAGTTGAGGTGTGTAGGCATCATTTTATTACATTTATATTTAGATTTTTTTAAAGGGTACATATGTGAATGATATTAGTAGTAGTGATGTATTATTTCAACGATAATTATTAAACAACTTAAAGAATATCAAAATCCTTATTATAAAATAATTTAGAAAAAAAAAAAATCAACCGTCTAAATAAAAGATAATAATTATTTTAGATAATGATTAAACAATATGTATTTTCGTATTTTTTTTATCATTCATATTCTTATCATCATTTATATTATGTTATATAATAATTGTTTTAGATAATGAATAAACTACATGTATTTTCGTATTTTGGGAGTGAAATTTTTACTACTAACTCCGTATCAAAGTTCAAATAAAATGAATTTATTATAAATAATATGCACTTCGAATTATATATATGGGCACCATTTTTGAACTCCCTAAGCCCAGTTAAGTGATCTAAACCAATAAGTTGAAAAAGGGTACCACCTTTTTTTGTTTGAAAATCTTTAATAAAAAGATGAAAACTACTTACATGAAATGAAGAAAGAGGACTTTGTTTCCAACACGCAAAATATGGAGTGTAAGGATATTGTCCCACGCCAAAGAAAAGTCACTTCATTTGGTCTCTAAGTAATTAGATGTAGTACACTATGGTGAAAGGTTCGGTATAAAAGGTAGATGTATCCTACCATTTTTCGAGTTTATTTGTCAGTATTATAAGTGAAATATGTACTGCCCTGTATTTTATTTTTATTTTGATTATTTTTTTACCGAGCTTTATGAATTTTGGTATATTAAAAAGTATATGTATCTCGGTTCTTGTTAAAAAAAAATTAATGGAATTAAAAATATAAAAATTAAAAAAGATAAATTAAATGCATTATTGTATTGGTGCCTATGAGGTGTCTATGAAATTGGAATTGGGTTATTTGTTCAATAAATTACCATTATGAAAATGAAAATCTTATTGCAAAAATAAGTGATCAAATAAGAATTAAGAATAAAAAAATAAAGGAATTATTATATTGGTGCCTATGAGGTTTTTAAAAAATCTACTTGCCTACAATTATGAAATTGGGATTGGGTTATTTGTTCCCTAGTGCCCATCATAAAAATGGGGATGTTACTCTATCGACTTTTATTATGAAAATGAAAATCTTATGGCAAAATTAAGTGATCAAATAAGAATTAAGAATAAAAAAGATAAATGAATTATTATATTGGTGTCTATGAGGTTTTTAAAAAATCTACTACTGTAATCGACTTTCATTATGAAAATGAAAATCTTATGGCAAAAATAAGTGATCAAATAAGAATTAAGAATAAAAAAGATAAAGGAATTATTATATTGGTGCCTATGAGGTTTTTAAAAAATCTACTACTATAATCGACTTTTATTATGAAAATGAAAATCTTATGGTAAAAATAAGTGATCAAATAAGAATTAAGAATAAAAAAGAAAAAGGAATTATTATATTGGTGCCTATGAGGTTTTAAAAAAATCTACTTATGTAATCGACTTTTATTACGAAAATGAAAATCTTATGGCAAAAATAAGTGATCAAATAAGAATTAAGAATAAAAAAGATAAAGGAATTATTATATGGGTGCCTATGAGGTTTTTAAAAAATCTACTTGCCTACAATTATGAAATTGAGATTGGGTTATTTGTTCCCTAGTGCCCATCATTTAAATGGGGATGTTACTCTAATCGACTTTTATTATGAAAATGAAAATCTTATGGCAAAATTAAGTGATCAAATAAGAATTAAGAGTAAAAAGATAAAAGAATTATTATATTGGTGCCTATGAGGTTTTTAAAAAGCTACTACTGTAATCGACTTTTATTATTGAAAATGAAAATCTTATGGCAAAAATAAGTGATCAAATAAGAATTAAGAATAAAAAAGATAAAGGAATTATTATATTGGTGCCTATGAGGTTTTTAAAAAATCTACTTGCCTACAATTATGAAATTGGGATTGAGTTATTTGTTCCCTAGTGCCCATCATAAAAATGGGGATGTTACTCTAATTGACTTTTATTGACTTAGACAAAATGAAAATCTTATGGCAAAATTAATTAATCCAGCGATAGATTCGGGGCTATATATGTAACTATTATAGATTCCTCAAATCATAATAAAGTGTCATTTCATAATCCGATAGATTCAGGGCTATATATACATGTCATTTTAGTCCAATAAATCTAGATTTAAACAAAAATCATAACACCTAAATGTATTAGTAACAAAGGATGACAAAGTAATTGTAATTGTGAAAACGCGTAATTATTTATCTATTGGATAATCAAATAAGTATATAGGGACTTCTTATTATTTATCTACATAAATGATAGAGCTAATCACGAATTATCTTTGAGCTAATCATGTGGAAAAAATTACGAAACTTGTATTTTTAATTAAATAAAGGAAATAATCCAACAAAAAGGAAAGGCGCCAAACCCTAAATTTCTCCCTCCAATATAAAATACTACTTCACAGATGAACCCTTAGAACATAGAAACCCTTCACCACTTACAACCAAAAGCTCTTAACAATGTCTTCCTCCCACCCTAACTATGTCCTAGTCGGATCTAGTTCATCTCAACCTTCGAAAAACTCAGCCAAGATGGTTGCTCGGAAATTCAAGAACTGTCAACGAGCGTTGTTGAACAAAATCCTCAAAAAAAATGCTATTCAAACACTCAAATACCCTAAAAGAAGGCTGGCAGTTCCATCCTATAGGAACAAAATGAAGCAGGAGGAATTTCCAAGGGTTCCCCGTATGCCAAACGTGAGCCATACTCACCACCAGCGGTTCGCCGAGCTGATGTCATGAAACCAGGGCCTTCCTCGAGCATCAACCAGTCTGCAACAACGTTTGTACCAGCTTCACCTGCCACAAGCCACGTACCAAACCCACTGGTAGCCCCTGCTCCTACAGTGGTGGAAGCACTTGCACCCGAGCCTGACGTTGACTTGAACCAAGCAGAACCACCTGTTGTCGACGAAAATATTGTGGTTTTCAACGTGGTTGTGAGGAGCTACACCATAGGAGATGTGGGGGTGTTGTATGACATTCGCAGTGACGAGACCTTCGAACATATCTATGACGACTACGCTTCCAGACTAGGCGTGAATCCGTCTAAGATAAGGCTGTACAAGAAAGACGAATACATCACAAGATGGGCTGTAGCTGGGGAAAACGACATCGAAACTGGTGATGTGTTGTTCGTCGTTGGGCTGGTAATCATCTTAAATTCTCTTCGTATATTTTTATTTAATTTGGTCATCTTGTTTTGAAATGAAATGGGCTTGCAATTTAGTTTAAAATGAAATTAGAAATAGTATAACTTGATATGGTACTTTAATGTTTTGTTCTTGTAATTTAGTTTAAATATGGATTATTTAGGTTCCTTTGTAGTTAAATTAAAATAGAAATAGTATAACTTGATATGATACTTTAATGTTTTGATCTTGTAATTTAGTGAATATATGGATTTCCTTTTTAATTTAATTAAATTAGAAATAACTTAATATGATACTTTAATGTTTTAATCTTGCAACTTATTAAATATATGCGTCAGATAATGTTTTTTTTTTTTATTGCTGTTGATATAAGGAAAATACACTTTTATGATTTTTGCTGAAAAGTTCACGCATATTGCAAGATGTATAAATTGATTATTGAAAATGTATTAATTGATGGGATTTAGTGTTGATATTCTATTAAGTAGTATATTAGAGAAAGAAATTTAATGTTGGTATTCGAGAAAGAAATTGAAATAAAAGTATTGTATAGAATTTTGTTTCATTAGAAAATAATAAAATTGATACTGAATTGCATCAAAGTAATGTTTTGCGAGGAAATAAAAAGATGGGATTTGGTGATCATATTAACCAAAATAAGAGGAACTAATGTATTGTAATTAACAACAAAATTGCAGTTTACCCTTTGCCGAATTCGAAAGTAGGTTAATAATGTAATACTTTATTCCTTAAAGTGTAATAATATAGTTTATGGAGATGACAAGGTAATATGTGATGAAATCCTGATGTCTTTCCTTGGGTCTGTTTGGCCAAGTTTATGTTTGTTGTTAGCAGTTGACATGAATTTGGAGGTTTTTATGGTTGGCATGCTGGTGTTGTGAAAACAAACACTCGTATCAAGCGATTCTACATCAAAAACACAGGAAACCAAAAGAAGAAGAAGATGCAGGTTCAAGGAAAGCTGGACACTCCACTATGCAGGTTGTTTCACATTTGGGCAAAGGAGGTGAAGGTGGATCCAACCAACTTGCTGTTTATGCATGAGGACAATGTTCTAACAACCGTGCACACTATTAGTGGAGCTGGAATTCAGAATGGTGACAAGATTGTTGCCCTTCCAGACTTCAAGTACTAAGCTTTGTTGAATCTCTACCGCTCGTGATAATGGGTTTAATCATTTTGTCGTGATGTGATTGTTCATATGGTGGAAACATTTATTTTGTTGTGTTAAACAATATGTAGTATGGCTTACTCTTTATTTTTCTTGGCCATAGACTAGTGTCTTTTGCAAAAGTCCACCTTGTTTCTTTTGCGGTGGAGGTGTTGAATGTAGGTAATGTTGTGGGTCTAGGTTTGTATCTGTAGGTATTAGGTAATGTATTGGGTCAATAGCATGGAAGCCCAAAGACCATGAAGGTAGTTTAGTAAGTATATGTTGAGTAGTTGCTGCCACTAATTCTAGCACATGCATGTTAATTATTTTAAATGAACTACCTTTTATTGTGATAAGTTAAGTTTGCACCTAATCTACAAATTTTTCTAATTTTGATGGATTGTGTTCGGTCCTATTCGACAGATTGAAATTACCCAATTGGCCATGGATTGTGTTTGGTCTCACTACTACAAAATTGGGTTTAAGTAAAACCTATTGGTAACACCTTAAAAAGTTCAAGATTGTTTAATTTTTACGTAACACTTTTGTAACATTATCGTATTAAGTAACATTTAATGTAACACTTTAATATAATGTAACACTTTGTTGTAACACATGAATATTAGGTATCACTTGATTGTAACACTTATGAATTTATTTATGCTCAATCCTTTTTTTCTTATCAGGTTTATTTATTTATTTATTTTATTTTTATTCTTCTAACCCTTTATTTTTTTTTAATAGTTCTAACCCTTTACTTTCTTTTTTTTCTTTTGTTCTTTTTAATTATTATTCTTTTTTCCATTATATCTCATCTTATTCTCGATCTCAAATAGTTGTTCTCCTTCTCCTCGAAGATGAAGTTGCATACGCCCTACCGCAGCCGCAGCGACAACCATAACCACCGCTGACCACAAATTCTCTCTCCCTTTTCCTTTTTTCACTCCTTTAGCAGTCTAGTTTTGTCTTCTTCATCTCGATCTTAATTTCCTCCAATGGCCGCAATTTTCTAGATATTTTCCCGCAGATTAATCAAAGATGCCCTCTTTTCCCCCAATTTTACTTGCAGGTAATCGTACTATGCTTTTTTTATATCATCCAATTTCCAGTCCAAAATCTTGGTTTATGGTTAATTAATTGAGTTTGTATAATTAATATTCTTTATAAAATTTGTTATATTTATCCTATAAATCCTATTGTACTCGAAATTGCAGATAAGACATTGCCTTTGTGAAATTAGGGGTAATTTCTCTCTACTCCAATTTGTGCATAATTAATGTTTTTTGATATTAAACTTTGACACATTTTACGTACATGATATAAGGTTTCAATTTTTACATACAGATAGGTGAAACATACAATGGTCCTGATAAATTTCAGCTATAGATGTTAATTATTGATGATCAATTTCAGCCTAATTTCAGACTAATACTGTACTTTCACTTTGCTTCATTTCCTCTTGTAGTCATGTGAGTTCTTGATAATGGCGACAGATGTTAATCATAAGCTTCGATCAAATTGCACTGGCCTTCGATTCAATAAAGGTTTGTTTCTTATTAAAAATCTAGATTTTTCTTTTGATATATTTGATTTTCATATTTATGTGATTTTTTTTGGAACTATATTTTTTTTATTTGGTTTTATCAGGGAAAAGAGGATAAAGTTCAATTATGCATAGCTTATTTTGGGATTTTCTTTTATGATTTTATATACATAGGTTGTGAGTATATATTTTGATTTCTCAACTTGTGGAAAAAGGGGGGAATTGGGTTCAATATTGAACTAATCATTGTACGCATTAGCTTGGATAAATAATTGTGATTAGTTTCTCTGTATCATTCACAATCAACAACATCAATCATGTTTGTGTGTTTTGTAATGGCCTAGGGTTTAATTTCACAAGTAATAATTTAATACAACACATTATTAGTTGAATAGATTTCTATAATGAGTATAATTTGCTTTGTATTAGAATACTTTTATTATAAAATCGGGTCAAATGTCATAGGTAATAGTGTAACACTAAGACATTTTCAGTTGGATGATTGGATTTTATTACTTCTATCAGAAACTACATGGAGTCATCATAGTGTTTTTTAGTAGTCTAATTTCTTAGTCACTACTAAATATGAGGATTACAGTTCTATAAATTGAAAAAGCTAAATTGAAAAGGCATAGGTTTATGAAAAAAGTAATTCAACACCATTAGTTGAACTTACCATTAGTTAAACATATTTCTCTTTTGCTATCTGAAAGCATGATTTATCAGACCTTACTTTAGCAAGTATGCTTGTAGATTAATTGATGTATACATTGCATAAGCATGGTGGTGCTTTCTTATAGATGATGATATAATTTTTTAGTCCTCGCAAAACAACTCTGATGTTTATTTTTCTTTATTGTTTCTTTAGTAAGCTAGAACTAGTGTTGCCCATTTTTTACTTCTTATTCTTCTTAATAGTGTGATAACATTTTGCTTTTCATGAATAGTGTTGATTTTTAATCCCTTCTTATGTAATTACATGTCAGGTTTGGTTTGCTTGGACTACTGGAATAATAATGCATTTTGCATAGCTTTTGCCATTCCTACTACTGTGAAATCCGAATAATGCCAAGGATATAAAAGATGAAGCCTATAAATTAGGCTTTTGCTCTATGTATAAAAGTCGATAGAGCAAGGGTGCAAGTTGCGACAAGGCAGGGTATAATAGCCCCTTGTCTTTAAGATTACTAGTTTTACTATTGTAAAAAAAGAGTATACTTGTGTATTTGTATATATACTAATTTTTTTTTTTTTTTTGGTGAAGGAGAGGGGCGATGCCCCTGGATGTATTTATACAAATGTAAATATAGTAATTATAATAAGTTATAATCAATGTTAAATCATTTTATTATTATTATTATTATTATTATTATTATTATTATTATTATTATTATTATTATTATTATTATTATTATTATTATTATTATTATTATTATTATTATTATTATTATTATTATTATTATTATTTTTATTATTATTATTATTATTATTATTATTATTATTATTATTATTATTATTATTATTATTATTATTTTTATTATTTTTATTATTATTATTATTATTATTATTATTATTATTATTATTATTATTATTATTATTATTATACATAAGATTGAATAAAGTGTTACTACATGTAAAAAGATGATTCAAAAATGTCACCTAATAATAAAAAAGGTGTTACATGTGTTTGCAAGAGTGATACACAATATCGGATAAAGTGTTACCCTAAGATTGAAAAATGACACTAAAGATAAGTGTTACATAAAAAAATAAAAAGTAACACTTAAAAAATGATACCAATAATATAAAAAAGTGTTACATCAGAATGTTTATAGTAACATTTTTAATAGTGTTACCATACGTTACCCAAAGTGTTACATAAGATCTTAGGTAACATGGGCGGATGTATCACCCAATAAAGTGTTACCTATTGTCTATAATAACACTTTTACCACTTTATGTAACACTTTTTGGGTGTTACTTGAGGTTACTTATGTACTAGTGTCTAATTCTAATTTTGATGGATTGTGTTTGGTCCTGACCCAAACAACTTGGACCACAAATATGTGGCCCCAAAAATCATTTATAGGCCAGATAATAATGTGTGTGGACCCAATCACACGGAATGAGGAAAAGGCCAAATTAATTTTAAGTACAATATGTCAAAGGTATAATTTATAGCCCAACTCATTTTTAGCCCAGAAATGAGCCCATAAATGGTAAAAGACCCAAAGACTTGAACTAATAAATTAGATGTTGTTCTATAAATCTCTACAGATACAGAAATAATAATATAGGGCCTCTAGCAATGTTGAGCTAAATACTTGTCTCTCATTATCTAATCACTTGTCTCATTACAGCAATATATATATATATAGTACCATAAAAACCAATATAGGGCAAGAACTCACTAGGGGACTCACTAGAGGCATTCCCATTACCGTTCCCAGTGCTTAATTCATGAAATTACTTGCATCAAAACCATAGCAATATGCAACCATAATGCTCTGCTAATGGTTGTATACCAGAAATATCATGCATAAGCAGTCAATATGTTCCAAGCCTTGTCTACATATGCACAAGCAGTCAATATGGCAGTGAGAATAACAGGAAAAGCTGGATTTCTTCAAGGATCAAGGCATGTATTTCCCTCGTCAAATAAATGGAGATCTCATGAAATTGGAAGAACGACCAAATCAAGAATAAGTTTCAGCCAATACAGTCATAGCATAAGTTTAATATAAGCATAAGTTTAATAGAAGTACGACCAAAACATATTGTAAGTTATACACAAAAGTAGAGGTCCTAATAACCCCATTTAATATAAGCATAAGTTATTGGCATAATCTAGCAAAATAATCCATCTTTCAGTATCCAAGAAATTACTGATCATAATCCTACATCATTCAGAACTCGTACGAGTTGTCTGACTCACTGTGCTCTTCAATCCAGTCAGGATCTACGCAATCCTCATACACATTGCTAAGCTGACGTGTTGATCTTTTTCTCTTACCCTGCAAAAGAGAGTGAAAAAGGATTAATTCCTTGAAGTTAAATGTGATTAACAGCCACACAAAGATGTATCAACACTGACCTCTACCACCAGATTTGCTTTCTGGTTATTGGCAGATTGTTTCTTATTCTTGTATCCGGTCTCTTGTGAACTCTTGTACCTTGACCCTTTAGGCCTGCCACGAGGCTTCTTGCGTGGGGTAGGATCCTTGATTTGTACACCAGATGATGGTGTCTGGGCTTGGGTTCCCACCTGGTTTGATCCTTTTTCTGAGGGAGGTAAGGATGGGAGTGCTGCTTGCTTTACAAGGAAGGTTTTCCTACTCTCTTTAACATTCAAACGCAGCTGGTTTAGACTTCCCACGACCATCTCAATAGTGTCACCATCGTCTACTGCACAAACCTCGTCACAAATTCCTTCAAACTCCCTCATCAGTTTACGGTGCTGCTGCACATGCGGTTGGTCACCTGGATCATGGTAGGCAACTTTAACCCGGGTATGCTTCCAAGGTATATCTTTCCTCCACCTATCAAGCACGTATTTATTGGGAATAACAACAACACCATTCAAGTCAAAAACACGTATAACATGCTTCCACAATATACCAAATGTCTCGAATTTGCGGCACTCACAAGAGACCTCCTTACTCTCATTATCACACGGATTATACGCTTCTTGTCAGTAATAACATCCTCACTCTTGCCTTCTGGTATAATCCAAACCCGGTCCTCTAGTTCATACTCTGTCTTATTGTTCCCAATATCTCGCCTCTCATTGGTGTTACAATACCCCATCCTAGCACACTCCTTCTGTACTTCCTGAAACTTAGCATCAGTGTATATTTCTTGGAAAAATTTCTCTACTTTAAAACCACTAACAAGCCTCCTAAGGTATTTGCCACATCTTGCATCGGCATCCAGTTCCGCTTTTACCCGCTTCCCCATCGCCCGAGTATATTTCTCGGGAAATTCATGTAGTTGCGTAGTTCTGTTAACAAAGCCATCGAAAAAGCTATTTATGCTCTCCACACGTTGCGTTGTCTTCATTCCAGCCCAAAAATGCTCCTTCATAAATGCCGGAATCCACATATGCCTTTCCTCAAACAGATCACACAACCAGTCATTATCTTGTAGATTATACTCCTCAATTAATGCATGCCAGCGGGCCTCGAATTCCTCACAGGTAAAGCTCTCATATATGAGAGTCTTTAACGGGCTCTTAAAATAAGCATAGCTGGAACAGAACATGAATTCAGCAACAGAAGCATATACACCCAAAATCAATGAATAATCAAATATGAAATGAAAGCATATAAAAGAGGTCAATTTAGTACCATAATTATATAATAGATAAGGCTCTGAACTCCTAAGGTACAACAGAATCAGAAACAAGATTGATCGATCACCATACTGAGTTTTCAATATTTAACTTAAACAACTACATATTATCAGTTATGGACCATACATTCATAAACAGATCAGGCTAGGTAGAACAGAATCAGAAACAAGATTGATGTTCAATCTATCTTAATCAACTCAACACAAAAACCAGCATATAGAGAGTAAAAATAACATTAAATCAATGAACAATAAAGTATTAGCACCACCAGTACATAAACAAATCCAAGTTAGTAGTAGGTATATCAGAATGACAAACAACAAACTACAGACATAAATGAAATCACAACACTTACCCTTTACACTTGCCCAACTTCTCCGGAAATTTCCTCATGATGTGCTAAATACAACACCGATGGCGAGAAGAGGGCATCACAGCTGCCAAGGCTTCCTCATAGCGGCTGCTTGGTCTGTCAATATAGCACCCGGGGGTTTGCCCATACAAGCTAACCACTGTGTAAAAATCCATAGGAATGTGTCAAATTTTTCATGTGATACTAAGGCACACCCCAAGAGTAGGGATTGGCCGTGATGATTGACCCCCACAAAATTGGCAAAGGGGAGCTCATTTTTATTTGTAAGATATGTTGCATCAAAGCATACAACATCCCCAAACTCCTCGTAAGCTGCCCGACTCCTAGAATCAACCCAAAGAACATCCTTTAACCGGCCTTCCCCATCTAATCGATGAGCATGAAAAAAAATTTGATTATCTGCTTGCATCCTATCAAAGTACGCCATCATGGCAGCAGCATCACCACCTTCCATTTTCAAACGTCTTTCCTTTTCCTTGTAAACCTCGTGCTGAAGGTCTTTAACTGTTGGAAAATTATCAACATCATCCATCTCAGTGCTTATACAGCCATGGATTTGTGTTACAAGAACTCCTTCTTCATAATAGTCCATTAGCTTCTTCTTCACCTTTGATGTATAATTCTTCATTCGGTATTCTTTTACTAAGTTGGACTTGGTAGGACATAAGTCGTGGTTGTGGTCTTGAACAACATTCCTCAATACCCACTCGCCTTGTGAATTCACACTTGCATATATTCTAGCCTCACATCCACATTTCTTAGAAGTCCTATTCCCCCGATTTAGTTCATTTTCTCCAATTTCCCCATTCGCTACAGCTCCTTTACCACACACTTCCATAGCTTTCTCCCTCTTCTTGGATTCCCTCCTAGCCCTCATATCAGGGGGGCCCCAACACTCACATCGCCAATTAATCACCCTCCTGTCCTTATCCTTGGTGTAGGACCCTGATGGACGAGTTACACCAAAGCCATGTTGCACTGCATATTCTTTATAATAGCTTTCAACATCCTCCCACCACTTAAACACCATCCCAACTCTAGGTGGTTCAACAGTAGAGTAGACACAAATCTTGTTGGTGGACACAATAGTATCCACAGTCTCAAGGGTTGTCACAGGAGATGTTAAAGACGGGCCATACTGACTACATTGGGTGAGCTGGACATAAGGTGTTAAGCAATCCAAAGATGATGGGACTTCAGTTTCAGCATGACTATCATGTACAAGAATCTGATCAAACATATTGACCTCATTTACCATACCAGACTCAGGGCAAACAATTTCAGCTTCCATGGTACAACTTTTGAGGATCGACAACTCACATCTTCACAAAACCATATAAAAAGCCAATTTCTTAATTAATCAAAACAACAAATTCACAGAAATCGCAAATTATTTACTAATATAGGCATTTCATGACCAGCATTAATCAAATATCACAACTTTGACTCCTAATTAAACATCACAACACCGAATAACTATACAATTTGGACCATAATCAAAACCCACTAGAACGAACAATGAAAATTAACAACCAATACAGAAAACAAACCAACTATCATTTCGCAAACATCAATTTCATCAAACTAGAATTTCCAATAACAAATACATAACCAGATAACAGGAAACTAAACAACTATCATTTCTCAATTCCACACAATATTAACAAAATTAAACTATTAAACAATACCATACCTGGAAATTTGGGAATAACAGAACTGAGTTAGGGCTTAGAAATCAAAAAGTATGCAATTCTCTCTCCTCCGAGTTCCAGTTCAGAAATCAAGTCGCATGAGTTGAATGGATGGTGGTTTAGAAGATTGTATTCCGGTCGAATTACTCAACGCCGGCCAACTACGACATCGTGTACATTTTCTCTCTCCTCACCTGAATGTTTTTCTCTCTCCAGCATTCTTATTTAAAGCCAATAAATGAAAAGAGGAGACGGCGTCAAAACTACCGTCTATTTTAGAACGGTATCCAATATTGTAATAAAAAATTAAAGGAACGGAGTCCAGTCAGCATTCCACTACAATTCACACACATGTCAGCAAAAGTTCCAACTATTTACAATTGTGCCATGATATTGACATGGATATGTTGATATCCGATATCAACGGGGACAAGCTCGTTTTTATTTAACTCAAATTCTTTACTCTTATCTTTTCAAAAAGGATAATTAAGATTTTTAAAAATTTATAGAAGCTTCTAATTAATCCTAATTAGTTTAGAAATAGGATTAAACCTTTGGACCCTCCACATGATCATTGGGTCGTAGGTAAAATCCGGTTTGAGTCCAGTTTAGTATTTCGGCCATAACTTCCTCATTATTCATCGGAATTGGGCTTATAATATATCGTTGAAAAGGTCTTTCAAGCCCCATCCAGCTACTGGACCCATATCATGGACCAAACTAAACTGGAATGCACGTTTTTCAAAAATAGGGTAAGAAAAGAAATATTTCAAAAACAAAAAGAAGAGATATTTTAATAAAAACATCCTCATCACTAGACTTTTCTCACTTTCGCTTTGTTTGATAATCAAATGACATGAAAGGTATTCATCACTGGTTTTGGTTTTGGGGAGACACATTTGGATGTCTACAATACGGATTAATTATTAGTTTTTATTTTTTTTATTTATTTTTTTTACAGGAAATATAGTTGTTTGTGTTAATATCATTGTTATTATTGTCATAATAATAATATTATTATTATTATTATTAATTTATTATATACCAAAAATAGAAAAATCATACAACCTACATACAATTAGTGAGAAACCAAGATACAATATGCTTGGGCCCCTACTTCTCTAGGCTCTAGCTACATCAAACTCAATTATTATTTATTTATTTATTTATAATACTCCCTTTGTTTTTTATTTATATACTCCATTTTCATTGGACATTTATGCAATAATGCAGATGAGTGCAAAACTTTTACATAAATTTTGTAATTATCAATAAGTATACAAATAAAATAGTTGAATTCTTAACAAACTATTCAATGTGACAATCTCATAATCTCAATAAGTATTTACAAAGTAGAGTTTAGTAGATTATATTTTTTCTTATGAGTAAATCACTAACATTGATTATAAACTCAAATTATAATATAGTATGAAATCCCAATTTAGATGTAAAAAGAAAAAAGAATGTTCTAGTTAAGCACAAAAAAAAAAAGCAAAGTGGGTAACAATAGCAATACACAAAGTCTTATATGTGGTTGGTCACACCGTGTGGCAAGGGTTACTTGGTCAGTGTAATAGGGGTTACTTGGTCAGTGTAAAGGGGTTACTTGGTCAGTATTATGGGGTTACTCAGTTAGTGTTAGTAATAGGGGTTACTCGTCAGTAGTATAGGGGTTACTTGGCAAGTTTTATAGGGGTTACTTTATTCTTTTGTAAGTGGTCACACGGTGTGGCTAGCCACACACAAGACGAGCTAATAACAATAAGCGTCAGTTTCTAATTAGGTGGAACTATTTATGAATTAAAAAATAAAACATGTTATTATGTAATATGATGTTTTTGTATGATTTGAGTAATAATAAAGCAAATTAACACCATTAAGGTATTATTAGCTTATTGTTAAAACCTATTCAATCAATCTAATTCCGTTTATTTATAACGAGTCAAAATCATAATAAGATTATTTAATTTAGTTTAAGGCATGTCTTCAGTATAGGTTTGTAACACCCTAATAATTATCTCTTTAAATATGTGAGGACCCTAAACAATATTCAAGAGAATTACTGGCGTGCTACCGCCACATGTTCAAACGTTAAGACTTTATCAGAAAATAGCGGCGGAAAAACTAACTCAGTTATAAATAAGTTTTAAAACCAATAACCAAAACCAAATTAAATGATACAAGCTGGAACCATTAAGGCCCTTATTCAAAACCCAACAAAAGTAGTAAATAAATAAAACCAGAGTTTAAATAAATTCAAACTTATGAAAAGAAATAAACTGCGAACAATAACCAACTCTCCACTCAAAATCCCACCACCTTGATGCAAGTCCAAACTATGTAAACACCTGTGACGAGTCTGCTCCCCAATATTACAAGTGTAAAGATTGGATCATAACAGGGTCATTGAAAGGCGAAGGCCATGACCAGAGAAAGACACACAAAGCACGCAATCAGCAAAGCTGAGTACATACAAGCTGCGAAACATAAAAGAAATCCCTAACATGCTACTAATAATCAATCATTACGCATCATTAGTTTATAGACTCGACACATGACTCAACTATTTATATTACTAAGACTCCATTAATTAATGGGTAAATCATTATTTTTATTCATTGGATTATGCAATAGACAAGGTTTTCCAACCCATGCTCCATTTGGAACATCAATAAAAGAAAAACCCCATGTCTCCTTTCGGAAACATCAATAAACATCCAACGACCACGGGCACGACTCTGTGACCGTAGTTAGTATGAGATCTCACCTAACTCCTAGTTTTAAAAAAAAATTGAAATAGGAGACTCGTAGATCAGACGGCCTCGAGAAAAGTGCACGGCTAATACCTCGTGTACCCCAACCCCTGATTGTCATTACTCCAGATGTGCATCAATCCAGAGTTTTATTGCTCATCCATCTTGTACTTTACGTGATTTACAGGTTTAGACTTGGTGATGACTCATATGCAAACAATACAATCAATCCAATATCAATTCAATCAAGTAAAATAACTTTCCAATTTCAATTCTTGATTTATTAGTGACAAGAAACATTTATTATTTATTCCTTTAACTACCTCGGTGTATAAACACCTTGAGTGCATAAGGCACCCCAAAACCTTAACCTCGTCTTATAAGACTTGAATTCTTCCTTTACTCATCCTGCTTGCATAATCATGAATGAGTAATAAATTAATCTTTACACCAATCACATACCTTTGCCTCTAAGTGCACCTTGCATAATTAGAGCACAAATAATACTTGCAACATAAAATAGTGCACATCATATGAAATTCACAATGTATAACCAAACAATTTAACCTTGTCATCCTTATACATGATACTAAGTTTTCGATCCATCCTTAAACATGCACCTAAACGCAAGGTTTCGTAACTTGTACGTACCTTTGAGTAAACGAATTGGTATGCCACTTTACTATCTAGAAATCACCTTCAATAAACTCCTCTCCTAAACCAAACAATAACATCTCAATCAATGCCCAATCAACCAAATTTACAGCAATACTAACTTACTTTAAAACCTTCAAAATCCAAATCAAACAACACTTTAAAACCTTTCCTTTAGTTAAAATTAAAGGCTTATATATAGTTCTTTAAATTTTCTCCATAAAAACCTTAAAATACACTATAATACGTGAAATTACAGCAAGTTTAAAGTTTAATAAAAATCTGAAAATTATTTAAAAACCTTTAATAATCTCCCTTTTTAATGGGTGACTAAACTGTCTTTACAAAACATCAAAAATAGTACTTAGAAACTATTTCCAACACTTAAAAATTCAATAAAAACATATATTTATGCTTAATTAACTTTAAACATAATTAATTTTATTAATCAAACTCAAGGATAAAATTTTAAGCATAAAAAAATTCGTTAAAAATCAAAAACTGCCCGAAAATCATATTTAAATGCTGAATTTGGCCACGATAGGGTGGTGCTCACTACAAAAGGTAGTGAGTATTTCTTAAAACGTTGTTTCCACATGGAAAACACTACTTTTTTTTTTTTTTATCAAAATAGGATGAGTTCAAAACCTGATCGGGATTAAAACGGGATTAATATTAACGAACGGAAATCTAAAAATTAAAACACGAACTTACGTGTTTAAAATAATCTGGAATTAATTTAAAATAATCAGTGGTTATAATCACCAAAATTTCAAAACATCATTACTATAAAAGCGCTAAATCAATTGTTCATAAAAACCCTAAAATCATGATTTTCAATAATTAAAAATCCTAGGTTATAAAATTTGCAAAATCCGAAAATTATGACATTTATAAAATCTGAAATTATGAAGTTTAATCATCAAAATACAATTTGATACAAATTAAATTAATTTCAAACAATCAAAACCCATAAATCAATAATTATAATTACACAAATTAATAAAACAAAGAAGAAAGAAAATAAGACTAACCTTTTTTGTGTGGGAAATTTTTGGGGATTAATGGGGTATTTATAGGAGAGAACGTTGTAGGTTAAATAGAAAGATTGGACCTCATAAAATTAATGGGCCAAATGATTGAAATGGACTAAGCTTTAGTTGTATTGAAATAAATTATGAATGAAGGTTCATAAAATGATTTGTACTAAAATAATTTTTGACCCAAACTAATAATTTGAATATTTTGAAATTAAATTACGGAAAAATAAAAATAAATATTATAAATAAAATTAAATTTCATTTATAACATATTTAAAAATACGGGAGATTACAAGGTTACTTCATAGGTTGTCGGTTGTCCTATGCTAATTTGGGTTATATCCAAGCAAGTTGATTCGGTTATCAGGTCGATTATGGTCGGGTCATTTCGGGTATCGGGTCAAATTCGGGTCCGGTCACTTTGGGTCGGGTCATTTCGAGTATCGGGTCAACTTCGGGTCGGGTCACTTTGGGTCAGGTCATTTCGGGAAACGGGTCAATTTTGGGTCGGGTCATTTCGGGTAACGGGTCGATTTCGGGCCGGGTCATTTTAGGTAACGGGTCAATATTGGGTCGGGTATAATCGGGTTGGGTCAACTTCAAGTTTCGGGTCAGGGTCGGGTCAACTCCACATCGGGTTGGGTATGGGTCGGGTCAGGTCAATTCGGGTTTCGGGTCAATTTCAGGTCATTATTTTCGGGTCAATTTCGGGTCATGGGTTGGGTCATTGGGGTTGGGTCATCGGGTCTGGGTCAGGATTGCCAGGTCTAAGTTGGAGTTTGTTC